TGTTCTCTCCTATTGCTCCATGCAGAGTGACACAGGGAGAGAGCTGTGCTTCAGGAGAACTTCTCTGGGCCTCACGCCTCCGTAAAACCCGGAGGCTGTGCCAGGAGCCAGGGCGGTCACCTGCAGCTCTAATGTTCTGATATCAAAGCCTTTCCCAGCTCTCTAAGCCCCTTCTCCTCCCTGCCCAACCCCCTCTTATTTTTCCGCTCCTCGGTGCTGTGCCGAGATTGGAACCATTCCTGGGGGACCGTCTTCTGAATGAAGTCTATGCCTTGCAAACAGTTGTTTTATTTATTTATTTTTCTCTCTCTTTGAAATCTCCGACCCGAGAAAAGCCAAATCTGTGCTGGCTCTGAGGAGGAGCAACTTGGAAGGGAGGTAGAGATAAGGAGATGGGTAATCAGATCCCAGCAGGTTCCGCAGCACGGGCAGGCAGGCAGCAGTCTGGCTCCTGCCAGGGCGTCTCCTGTGAGAGAGGCTTGACTCTGAGCTGTCCAAGCTGCTCCAGCTGGTTGTGTGAACTGAGGGAGGTTTCTCGGCTGCTTCCAAATCGCCTCCTGACAGCGAAGTGTGATTTATGAGATTTCCCTCTAAAATAGGAGAACATTGGCTCCTGATAATGCCCTGTAATGGAGGAAGGGAGTGGCTGCAGCATTCTTGATAAATACTATCTCTTTAGCCCACCATCTTGTTACAAAAAGGATACAAGAAATTGAATACAGATGGATTAAAGTCTTGAAAGAAAATAATATGGCCTCATTTTAGTGAGGTGCCTAGAGGGTCATTGCTCTCAAACTGAGGACCTAGGCTTGATTCCTAGCTTAATTGCCACACACCAGCTGTTATGACCAGAGGCTACTTATTCCTGCACCTCCACTTCCTCATCTGTGGAGAAAAGGTGGGGGAATACTAGTAGCACCCACTTTAGAGGGGATATTATACAGATGATGTGAGATAAATATCCAGAGAACTCAACATCAGGCATGGAACACATGGTGTGCTCTGTAAGTACTCATAATTATTATTAAGGTTATTTTGAGTCCCACATAGTAGATGGTCTAAAAGTAATTTTTTAAATATTTAGAAAACATTTTTATAACTACGTATTAATATGGCAGGGCTTGCACTTGTGGGAGTGACGGCATCTCAGTCCAGTTTAACAAGTGAGCCATATCAAGGAGGGCCTGTGTAGATTGTTACAGTCAATAGAGCAAAATGTGACCTTGGACAAGTTCCTGATTAGTTTACACAGAGTCTTGGTTTCTTCAACTGTAAAAATGGATAATAATAATAACATCCATGTCTGATATGGGTATAGTATATGCATAGCATGTGTGAATGTGTGTGGGGTGTGTTTGGGATGTGGTGTGTTAGTGGTGTGGGTATGTGGTATGTATGTATGAAAGTGTGTGGTGGTTGTGGTGATTGTGTGGTGTGTGTGGTATTTGTGCAGTATGTGAGTTTTTGTAGTATATAGATATGATGTGTGTCTGGTATGTGTATGTGTGGTAGGTATGTGTGATGTGTGTAAATGTGAAGTCATGTGGCATGTGAATGTGGTGTGTGCGTTGTATGTGGGTGTGTGTGGTGTGTATGTTTGTGTGTATGTGTATGTGTATGTGTGTTGGGCGAGATTCCCATAATCACAACATTTGATGTCCTTGGGTAAAAGCACTTTGGTAAAGGTAAATAGGGATTTGCTATACAGATATTGGTATTTGTGCTAGGAGAATCCACTGTCAGATCTTAAATTTCTTTTGAGGAGCTAATATGACATGCGTCCATGAAAGAATTAAAAGAAAACAGCACAAGGCGCTCTGAGACTAATTGCATGTACCATAGGAGTTCAGAGTGGGGTCATGAGGGCTGAGCAAGCGGGGACTTCCTGGGAGGAGCAGTGCTTGGCCTCTAAAACACTGGTTTTAAAACTGTTTTGCTTGCCTACCCTCTACATGAACTTTGGGGAAAAAAAAATCTCTTTTGCCTCACACATTTTAACTTGACATCTGAAATGTTCACCAGAAATTTAAACAGTTACAAAGGATATCATTTCTGCCATATTGTAAATATTGACCTTGTAGAATAAAATTACTCTACCCTCTTAACTGTATCAAATGCAAACTAAATAACAGCAATTTTTAGTTTGCCTTTTTATTGATGTGTCACTTATGTACAGTAGAATGCTCAGATCTTAGTGTGCAGCTCAGTTAATTTTTACCAGATCAAGGTGTAATGGTCTATCTCCAGTAATCCAGAATGAAACCTTGCACCCTCTCTCAGTCATTACCCCCAAAGGTGATCATTTCTCTGAACTCAGTCACCATAAGTTATTTTTTGCATGATCTTATTTTTTTCCTTGCTATTTTCCATCAACATGGTAGCAGTAGATCATTTTTTCCCTTATCATATGGTATTCCATTGAATGAACATCTCACATTTAAAAAATCTTATCTACTCCTTGCATAAATTCACTTTACCATTAATATTTTAAGACTGACAAGCATTTTGAAATAAATTCTCCCTTTGAAAAAAAATCTTATGTACTCTTAATGGACATTTTGGGTTGTTTCTAATATTTAGCTATAAGTTTCTGTGAATATTTTCCATATTTTGAGTGTAGACATGAACACTGATTTCTTCTGGATATGATCTATGGGTGGAATTGCATGGTGGTAATTGGCCACCTCATGTCTTTTCTCATTGGAAAAGACACTGATGCTGGGACGGATTAGGGGCAGGAGGAGAAGGGGAAGACAGAGGATGAGATGGCTGGATGGCACCACCAGCTCGATGGACATGGGTTTGAGTAAACTCCGGGAGTTGGTGATGGACAGGGAGGCCTGGTGTGCTGCGATTCATGGGGTTGCAAAGAGTCCGACACGACTGAGCGGCTGAACTGAACTGAACTGAACTGAAGATAAATACCACAAAACATTTGTATCCACCACCACTCATCAAAAATTACCTGTACAAGTCAGAAAATTTATAGTTATATTGTTCCTATCTTTACCTTCTTGAACTCATAATTCCCTTCTACTTCCTTCACAGAATTTTACATAATATGTTTTCATGCTTGAACTTTTTTATTGATTTCGCTTTTTTTGTCCAAAATATGTATGTAAATTGAAACGGACATTAAAAAATTTGCTTTGACCATAAAACCCTAAGTATCTTTATTTCATATTGATTTGTCATGCAGTTCATCAAAATAATATCAGTGTTTTATAATTTGATAAATAATTACTAAAAATAAAAAGTAAGACAGAATGGGTGCTTCTCAGAATGAGATGGATAGGATGGCATTAAGGTTCACAAGGACCATCCAGGGATCTCGTTAAAATGCAGATTGTGATTCAGAAGGTCTGGGTTGGGACCTAAGGTTCCTATGGGTGTTCTATGACTTATCTATGGGTGTTGTTTCTAAGACTAAGACTTCTGTCTGTATCAACAAGAGGAAAACGGGAGTGGGAGGGCAGTTAAAGACAGACTTTCTCCAGGTATAGTCAGGACTGACCAAGGGCTGTGTTTCTAATAAGCCTATGGAAGATGCTGATGCTGCTGGTCTATGGACCACACTTTGTGTAGCCGGGGTTTATGGTCCCTAGATTAAAGAAGTTTTGCTAGCACCAGCGTTTTTAACTGTTCTCTACCTTGACTCTTTGAGAAATTGCGCCATAATCAGATTCTGAATAAGGGAGAAGATGGCCTTCTGCAAATAGAGAGGATGGTTGTGAAGAGGCAGATGGGAAAGGAGAGATGCCGAGGCACATTCTCAGGCAAAGGAAGAAAGAGTGGGAATGGAAGTAGGATCTCAAACCTATGCCTTTGTAACAGTTCCTGCCGTGCACCCCCTGGCAAGGCTTCCAGTGCCCCAGAGTAGCGCTGCACGCTTTGAAGACCACTTTTCCAAAGGATGCTAAGATGTACTGGCCACCTTTTCAGACAGGAGGCCCGTTTCTACAATAGGATTGGACATGTCAGGGACTAGTTTGAAGGAATAGTGAGTTCAATGGGGGGAGATACAGAGAAGTTTGGGGTCAGATAGTGGGTGGCCTTGAATTCCGTGCTAAGGAGTTGGACTTAATACTCAGTCAGAGGAGGGCCCTGGAGAGTTTTGAGCAGGGAGCTGGTGTGAGCACAGTGTGGAGAGACTAATCTGCTGGGCAGCCTGTGGGATGGTGGGGAAGAGGTTACTGTGTGGTGATGGCAGCAGTGACAAAACCACTGGGATCCGGCTGTGATTTTTATCTCTAGCCCCTGCTTGTGAACTTTTGCCCTGGGTGCACAGACCTGGTTTGCTCTGTCAGGATTTCCTGAAGCCTGGACTACATTCTCTGGTGGTACCCGAGATGGTGATGCATGGAATCTCAAGGCGATTGAGAGATAAATAACCTAAATAACCTTAAATAACCCTGAAACCTGAGAGTGAATGGCGTCCCTTCTGCCCTCGCTCAGTGCTGACCACACCTGGAGGAAGTCTGTCTTTAACTCCTCTCATGCTCCCATTTTCCTCTTGTTGATGGAGACTCAGAAGCTTAGGATTCGGGCCTTTGGTAAGCAATAGTCTCTGGAGAGAATTTTAACAAAATTTTTGTTTTTGTTGAATCAAGTTTCCGTGTACCAAGACAGCAAGGGGTTCTAGTTTTACCCTTGCCATAATGACATTAAACTGTATGTTTTAAGTAAGTTGTTTTCAGTAAGAAAAGTGAGTGAATTTACTAGATCATGTGGAAAAAATAATAATGCAGGTGATGTGTGGATATGGCAGAAATCGTGGTGGTGACATGCGGTGATTCAACTTTGGGAGACATTGGGTTACACTGTGGGGAAACCTGGCATTTGCTCAATCGTCCTGCCAGTGCCTGGAGAGGCTCTGGGTGGCGGGTGGTGGGGAGGGGGCGGCTGGCATTGCAGTGCCTGGGCCACTGGCGGTGGGTGGGCTGGGCAGATCGCCCTGCTGTCCCCTCCACCTCATAGCCTGCTCCTGCCTCTGCCTACAGAGATCCGCACGCAGCTGGTGGAGCAGTTCAAGTGCTTGGAGCAGCAGTCGGAGTCGAGGCTGCAGCTGCTCCAGGACCTCCAGGAGTTTTTCCGCCGGAAAGCCGAGATCGAGCTCGAGTATTCCCGCAGCCTGGAGAAGCTGGCTGAGCGCTTCTCCTCCAAGATCCGCAGCTCCCGGGAGCACCAGTTCAAGTGAGAAGGGGCTCAGGGTCTGGGGCGGTGGGAGGCAATGCTGGGAGGTGAAGCAGCAAGGAAACCAGGATTCCCTGGGGGCAGATGGTGGGCTTTTAAGGCCCAGTGTCTGCAGGTGACTTTCATCTCCAGCCCTCAGTCTTCCTTGGTGTAAAGTGAGGGTAGAAATAGTTGCTACCCATAAAGATGCTGAAAGGAACACACGATGGACCAAGAGAAGCATTTGTCACAGACAGGAAGTGCTCAATAAATGGTTCTGTTGTTATTATGCCACCAAGCACCAGGCTCTGCCACCATCCGGGCCCAGGTGCCAGCCCATCGCCTTTCAGGACATCCTGACTATACCCAGTTCTCTTTTATCTGGGGGTCAGCCAGCCCATGTCTGCATTCCTTCAGCACAGTGGCCTTGGAATTGCTTCTCTTTGGAATAGATGCTCAAAATATTCCTCTTCCTTCCTCCCCTGGAGGATGGTGCCAGGCTTAGTTGCTTATTTATATACACACACCCTCCAGGTCCTAATTTCTCATACTCCAAGCTCGGATTTTGAGGAGAGAAGGAGGCTTGATCCTCTTGGGCACATCCCTGGCTGAGTCCTCAAGCTGTAAATGCCCCCTAGCTCAGGACCCTGAGGGGCCAGCGGCCAAGTGAAGATAGAAGCCATGACCTTACCAGGTTGCGTCCCCCTCCATCTGTTTCCCCCTCGGTCATGCTCCCTGGAGGTCCCCCTCCTCTGTGAGTCATCTCTCCAATGAATGGCCCTCAACCCCGGGAGACCAGAGACTTGCTCCATCCTGTCTGTTCCGTTCCTCTTTCCTCTGGGTTCAGTCTCTTTTTTTCTCTTTACACAGGTTTAAATTGTGGTCAACTACACATACATAAAGTTTACCACCTTAAATATTTTAAAATGTACAAGTGTGTGTCATCAAGTCCATCCATGCTGTTGTGTAATCATCACCCGCACCCTTCCCCAGAACTCATCTTAGTAATGTGAAACTGCACGCTGTGAACAGTGCCCCATTTCCCTTTCCCACCCCCATCCTGGAACTCACCCTTCTACTCTCTGTCTCTATGAATCTGACTGCTCTAGGGACCTCAGATATGTGAAGCATACAGTATTTGTCCTTTTGTGACTGTGGCTTATTCCACTTTGCATAATGTCCTCAAGGCTCACCCAAGTTGTCACATGTGTCAGAGTGTCCTTCCTTTTTAAGAGTGAGTGATAATGCTGTTGTGTGTAGAGACTACACTTTGTTTAGTTGCGTCCACCTTTCTCTCTCTGTGTTTTGCATTCTACTCTGGCCAGGGAGCGCTCTTCCTTCAAACTCCCCTCAACATCTCCTTACCTGGGTGCCTCAGCATTTTGAGCACTCAACTTCTGTGCCTTCTTCCCTTGACATTTGGGGAGAAGAAATTGCCTTATTAAAGGGCAGAAATTCATTACACATTTGCAAATACCATGCATGTTTTCCCACCCAATCACATCTCTCCAAACTTTCACTGCAGGAGGATACTTCTGTTAATAACTTACTTCCAGGCACTGTCTGGGCCCTTTCATACATAATCTCATTTTTCTGATATTTTGGAGAAAGCATGTACTTTAAAAAAAAATAAAACTAAAACGCTTTTTGTTACAAATGCAGAGAAGTAGAAGAAAAAAATCACTCACCTGCCATTCAGAAGCTCAGGTTTTGGTTTCTTTTCATGACTGTCTTTTTAGTAACAACAACAGTAATGATGTATTGAACACATTAACTGAGCACTTGCTTTGAGTCAGATCAGTATCCCTTCTTAAAGATGACAGAAAGGCTTGTACAAACATGTCTGTGGGCCAGTTATTGGGAAGTGACAAATTTGAACCTTCACTCTCATTCTTCCTCCTTGGTCTGAGATGAGAAAGGCCTGGGTGTGGTCTGAGAGCAGCCATGGACTCTGAACACTCTGCTAAAACCACAGACTCAGACACGTACAGAAACCCACATCTCTGGCTGGGCTGTCACGGGAGCCATTCAGGCTGCGTGGTTGGGCTGGAGCTCAGCTTCCGCCCCTCTCCTTCCTCTTGATTTGGATTCAGCTCCCTCTTCCTGTTCTCAGTGTGGACACGGGGGCGGGAGGCACTGGGGGACCCTGTTCCTTCACATGGCCTGTAATGAGCTCAGCCAGCCCCTCATGGCTTCATTAACTGAGGCCACCAGACAGAATGGGAGCCCCAGCTGGCAGTCGGACCCAGCAGGCTGCTGGACACACCATGAAAGTCTAATTAGGGTGTGGCCAGGCCAGTGCAGCTGCTATGGGCCCTCGGCACCAGGCCGATGTGTCAGCAGAGCCCCCCCGCAACCCACCACGGCTTTTGGAAGCAAGAGTCTCCAGGGGATGCCTGGATTTGCCCTCTGACCCCAGGGTCAACCAGCCTGACCTCTGGCTGCCTCTTCTTTGGAGCTCAGTGCACAAGATCTGGGCTGTGCTCTGGGTCCCTCATCCTGGCTGTCCAGAGAAGCCTTGTCCTGCCATCTGGTTCAATTCAGTTCAGTTCAGTCACTCAGTCGTGTCCGGCTCTGCGACCCCATGAATCGCAGCATGCCAGGCCTCCCTGTCTATCACCAACTCCTGGAGTTTACTCAAACTCACATCCATCGAGTTGGTGATGCCATCCAGCCATCTCATCCTCTGTCGTCCCCTTCTCCTCCTGCCCCCAATCCCTCCCAGCATCAGGGTCTTTTCCAGTGAGTCAACTCTTCTCATGAGGTGGCCAAAGGATTGGAGTTTCAGCTTCAGCATCAGTCCTTCCAATGAACACCCAGGACTGATCTCCTTTAGGATGGACTGGCTGGATCTCCTTGCAGTCCAAGGGACTCTCAAGAGTCTTCTCCAACACCACAGTTCAAAAGCATCAATTCTTTGGTGCTCAGTTTTCTTCACAGTCCAACTCTCACACCCATACATGACCACTGGAAAAACCATAGCCTTGACTAGACGGACCTTTGTTGGCAAAGTAATGTCTCTGCTTTTTAATATGCTGTCTAGGTTGGTCATAACTCTCCTTCCAAGGAGTAAGTGTCTTTTAATTTCATGGCTGCAGTCATCATCTGCAGTGATTTTGGAGCCCCCCAAAATAAAGTCAGCCACTGTTTCCACTGTCTCCCCATCTATTTCCCATGAAGTGATGGGACCAGGTGCCATGATCTTAATTTTCTGAATGTTGATTTTTAAGCCAACTTTTTCACTCTCCTCTTTCACTTTCATCAAGAGGCTCTTTAGTTCCTTTTCGCTTTCTACCATAAGGGTGGTGTCATCTGCATATCTGAGGTGATTGATATTTCTCCCGACAATCTTGATTCCAGCTTGTGCTTCTTCCAGCCCAGCGTTTCTCATGATGTACTCTGCATCTGGTAGGTCTTTTATTAAGAAGGTCCACCTATCTGCCAGGTAGCCTCTCAGGGTGAGGCAGGCAGTGCCCAGGCCCAGGTCTGGTCATGTTATTCCCACTGCACAGTCCATTTGGGCTCCTATAACAAAGCACTCTGGACTGGGTGGCTTGTAAACAGCAATGGATCTCTCCCAGTTTTGGAGGCCGGAAGCTGGAGATGAGGGCGCCAGTGGTGGCTTCGCGAGGCTCTGGTGAGCTCCCTCCTGTGGCTTGTGGGCGCTGATCCTTCTTGTGTCCTCATGGAGTGGAGGACAGAGAGAGGAAGCAAGCGCTAGAGAGTCTTTTGAGGGCACTGATCACGTCATGAGGGCTCCCCTCACCCCCCATGACCTAATCTAATCCTTATTATCTGCTAAAGGCCCTACCTCCTAACACCATCACATTGAGGATAGAGTTCAACATATGACTTCTGGGGGAATACAGACACTCAGTCCATAAAAGGAACTCATGTCTCTTGACACCAAGTCTAGTGCTCCAACTTTGCTCTGTGGGTTCTCTTTCTAAGGCCCTAGCTGCTTCCTCTCCGCCTGGGCAGTTGAAAAATTTCCAGCTCCCCAGGGAGTGCCCAAGAGGAGCCTGGGCTGGACTCACCCAGGCTGAGTTCCATGTGGCAACGCCATTCAAGGAAAAGCTCAGCCTACGGCCCTGAGGGTTCACCTGCGGCAGGTTGAACTTTCAGAAAACAATGCCATCACGTGTGTCTTCTTCCACCATCACAGATTTCTGTTCTAACACACCTTTCTCAAAGCACTCTGACTTCTTTGCTCTCTTATAATCCTCATGATAACCCAGGGATGTAGTGAGGGAGTCATTGGTTTTATCTCAAACCATCTGAGCACCAGGCAAGCTAAGGGGGATGTTACAAAGGATACACCGTGAGCTTCTAAGTGAGAACACCCAGGGCTCCTGACTTTCAGCTCAGGCTTCTCTCTCCAAAAAGTCACGTGGGTGTATATAAAGCATCTCTTGTTTTCCTAGACCGTGCTTCTTGCTGAAGACACACAATCCCTCCTCTTTCTCTCTCATGAGTACACAGCCTGGGCACTGTCCATAGGTGATGTGGTTGGGGCGACGCCAAGTCCCTGTGGCCCTGCTCTTTGAACACTGCCATCTGCTTGGTCTTCAGGCCTAGCGTTTAGGTATCACTTCCTCTGCAAAGCTTCCATGAGTCTACCCTGGTGCCCTCCTGTGTGTCCACGATACTCTGCACTTGTTGATTTGCTTATTCAGCCAGTATTTACTGAGTACCTACCAATACCCGGTCCTGGCTTCCAATGGCAAACAAGACTTGATTCCTGCCTTGGTGGAATTTACCATCTCGTGGAGGAGTGAGATGTGGCATCAGACATATGCAAATAAATGAAAGACAGCGTGTTATCAAGCGATTGCTAGGATGGAATGATTGCTAGAGTCCAGGTTGAGAGGTCTAAGACGGCTTCCCCCACCTTACCTGGCACTTTGGTGAAGACAGCTATAAGGCTGGACTCAGCTGGGCTGCTACCCTCTCCACATGGGGTCAGAGTCTCACTTCAGTCATGGGAGCTCAGGGTCCCAAGGTGGCAGTGGGGGAGCTGC